CTCCTTCCAACGAGGCTGGTCAACGCCGATCTCATCGAGCAACCTAGAGAATTTGAAGCGATTCTCCGCGGTGTCGATCATCTCGGGAGAAGTCCCATAGATTTTCACGTTCTGACGATAGAGGGGAAGAGCAATATTGTTCGGGGTCTGGCCACCCATCGACAAGATGACGCCACGCGCGCGCTCTGTGTCATAGATATCAAGAATGGTCTCCAAGCTGATATTCTCGAAGTAAAGGCGATCAGCTTCGTCGTAATCGGTGCTGACTGTTTCTGGGTTGTAGTTGACCATGATTGTCGGGAGGCCTTGTTCACGAAGTGTCCTGATAGCCCTGACCGCGCACCAATCGAATTCGACTGAGGAGCCGATGCGGTAGACACCCGAGCCAATGACCACGACACCACGATCATTAAACTCGATGTCGTGTTCTATAGCGTTATACGTAGTGTAGAGGTAATTCGTCACTGCGGGGAACTCGGCTGCGACGGTGTCTATCTGCTTGACGAATGGGGCAATACCAATTTCTTGGCGAAGCCTTCGGACAGCTAACTCCGTTGAACCCAAACAACTGGCTAACAGGCGATCGGAGAAGCCAAGCTGCTTCGCTTGTAGGATGATTCTGTTACTGACAGAAGTAATGGATTGCTCTCTGTTGGACATTCGTTAGAAAAACATCGAAGATTAAGGGGAGTCCACGCACGACAAGCGCTTCTCCATGCGATGAATGTGTTGAAGTTTCGTTAGGAACCATTTGTCGATGTTGGTCATCTGCCAGATCTTGTCGACGCTATAACCCCGATGGAATGCATTTGAGATGGCGAATATCCGCTTGTCAGTGGCATTGACCAACTCCTCGTCAATGTCATCCACAAAGTTATTCTTGTGAAACAGGAAGTTTTAATCCCACTGAAATGACGGAGGCTTCTCTTACATACCTTCGCAAATCCAAGGAACTGATCGTCGATCGCCCGTATCGCCTTCTGGATGGTCTCTTCGAAAGTTCTGCCGATGCTCATGACTTCACCGACGCTCTTCATGCTACTGCTAAGGAGCCGGCTGACCCGGTTGAATTTCTTGAGGTCCCAACGTGGTATCTTGACGACAACATAGTCTAAGCTTGGCTCAAAGCAAGCGCTGGTTACTTTCGTCACGGAGTTCTTGATTTCGTTCAACGGGACACCCAGACCGAGCTTAGCGGCAATAAACGCAAGGGGATAACCTGTAGCTTTTGAAGCCAGCGCTGACGATCGCGACAGACGTGCATTAACCTATTTAAATGTTAGTACAACGTATGTCATGTCGGTCAAGATGTTAAACCAACCTCAATGATGCAGTACTCTTTCGAGGTCGGATTCAGAGCGTACTGAATATTGCACTCGCCAACAACACCAAGATGGCGAATGACGTTGATCGCAGTTGTTCGGAGCATGTTGTAGTCGGAGTCGGACAGCGTTTGGGAGGGAGCGACCACAATAGAGTCTCCAGTGTGTATACCAAGGGGATCAAAATTCTACCACGATACCATGAGAACATGCATGTGCGGTTCAGCGAAAAGCCACACTCACCTCCATATTACAAACAGTGATGCAATTGTCGCGACAATCGCGGACAACCTCGTACTCGATCTCTTTCCAACCTTTCATACTCTTTTCCACGAGCACCTGAGGGCTAGTCGCAAATGCCTTGCTACACAGAGCGCGAAGCTGGGCTTCATCCTGCGCGAAGCCAGATCCCAAACCACCCAGAGCGTATGCAGCACGAATAATGACCGGGAAGCCGATCTCACGCGCTGCGGCAACTGCTTCATCTGGAGTGGTGGCTGTGGCAGACTGAGCACAACGCTCCCCAATGTCTTCCATTGCTTGGGCGAATAATTGCCTATCCTCTGTCGTGATAATAGTCTCGATGGGGGTACCAAGAACCTGTACTCCCAGAGCCGCAAACTCATCTTTGAGTTTAATGCCGACATTCAGGGCAGTCTGTCCACCAAACGTCACGTAGATACCATCCGGTTTCTCGTACTTGATAATTTTGCGCACGAAATCGGGTGTCACCGGAAGGAAATATACCTTGTCTGCGAGACCCTTGGAGGTGGCAATGGTGGCAATGTTAGGGTTGACGAGAATGGTGTAGATGCCTTCCTCCTTTAGCGCCTTGATGGCCTGCGAGCCTGAGTAATCGAACTCGCCTGCCTGCCCGATGGATAATCCACCGGAGCCAAGAATGAGAACCTTTTGGACATTGGCGCGAGGGAACATCTTATCATTGTCTTCCTTACGCCTGCCCGGAAACGATATGGGCACCGGGGTGTTCGCGTTGATACAATCCACGATGATCCGGATGAAGTCATCAAAAAGAAACTCGGTGTCACGTGGGCCAGGAGTAGATTCCGGATGGAATTGTACGGAGAAAAATGGTTTGTCTTCGCAATAAATCCCTTCGTTGCTACCGTCATTGGCGTTGCGGAAAAGCTCTTTCCATCCCTGAGGGAGCGTGTTTGTGTCGACTTGGAAACCATGGTTTTGAGACGTTATGTAGCACCTTCCGGACAGTGCGTGAGTGCATGGGATGTTATGTCCACGGTTGCCGTATTTCATTTTTGAGGTAGTAGCTCCCGCGGCGAGAGCGAGCAATTGGTGCCCAAGGCAGATACCGAAGATTGGGCGGTCGCCTTTCTCCATTGCCTGAGCAATTCGCTTGACGGTGGACATGATTGTCACAGGATCACCTGGACCATTTGATATAAACAATCCGTCATATGGCTCGGCTTCGTTGATGAAGTCATAATCCCAAGGAACAACCTTGAGCTCCACTCCACGCTCAGTGAAGCATCGAATCTGATTATACTTCATGCCAACATCCACAGCGAGAACGCGAAGGACACGTCCGTTTGGGTGGAAACGGGGTTGACCTGTAGGTTTAAAAAATCGGGGAGCAGGTAATGATACTGCAGCGACGAGATTATCAGAGTTGGGATCATGCCATGGGATATCGATATAGTCTTCCGAAGGTGGCGGCGAGGATGACCGTGAGACCGAGCGTGACTCTGCAATAATAAACTGCAAGCGGCGGGGAGGGGCATCTGACTTTCGCGCCAACACTCTAGCTAACATGGAACCTTTCTCCCGTATCTTCTTGGTGAGGGCGCGTGTGTCCACACCACAAATGGCAGGAATCTTGTTTTCTTTCAACCAAGCTCCAAGCGAAGAATTTGCCAAGAAATGGCTATAGTCCTCGGTATATGAGCCAACTACGAGGGCAGCAATATGGATGCGAGATGACTCGAAATCGGAAGGGAGATCAAAGTCATTTTTGGGGCGTTCGGGCACACCATAATTTCCAATCAATGGATAGGTGAGAACGAGGATCTGGCCCTCGTATGAAGGATCGGTCAAGGATTCTGTGTACCCGACCATGCCTGAGATACAATAGATCAATAACATAACATTAGATGACGGAAATAAACCCCACCGGTCTGAAAGACGCATTCGCCTGCAACACTTTTTTCTTCCGCCCCGAAGCTGATACCTCTGAACGCAGAGCCATCGTTGAGTTCCAAGACGGCCTCGTTAGAAGAACACATAACATCATCGTCATTCAGTGGAGAGAACGTAACCGGAGGAGCCGGAAAGCCAGGATTGCTCTGAGAGCGAACGAAAACGGGTCGAACGCCGTCTTCAGGCATCTTATAAAAAGCGAGCTAGATGTAGATAGTAAATGAGTGATGGAATTGGGAGACGAGAGAACTAAGTGATCTCTTCTTTTCTCCTCACCCAAAGACTTTTAAAAGGTGTTTCGGTGAAGAGAGAAGAAGAGAAGAAAAAGATTGCGCTATGTTGCTCGATCATCAAAAGTTTGAATCCGAAACCCATATATGGCAGGCGACCCAAATTCGACCAATCCTGCCAGGGCACACCAGCATCAGGTAACCGACGTGAAAATGATAAACTCATACAAGACTTTACCTGATCTACAATTTGCACAATATTAATCATAATTGCACTTCACATGACAAAGCTTTGAATACCTGGACTACGTGGGATGAAAATGGCCAGATGCACATTCTTGATAGTCTCATTGTAACTACGCATCAAGACGGTAAAATTTGTAATACCTGCCAACTGCTGCAAAATTGACGAGAGTTTCCACATTCTCCAATTTGAGTACCAGTGCCAGTATATTTGTAGTCCACTGCAATTCCGCCATGTCCTGGTCATGACAGGTACCTTTGCCGAGGTTTTCTTCCTTCGCAGTAGCTACATAAATTCTGGTGTCAGATAAACATTTATAATCCTGGACTATTTAGGATCACAACCGCCAACTGGAAACAAGATGTGAAGCAACTGTAGTAGGGTATCGTGATGTGTCGGCATGGTTGTCACATTACAAGTTGTGCTTCCTACTGCAACCTCGACAAGAACTCTCTTGTTGCTGATATTAGATATGTGATTGTGATACTAGATTATGTTGCCCGGATTTGTTAAGTACACAATGTAAGTAATGAATGACAGTGTACTATCATCTTAGCCAACTCTGATGAGATATGATCACGTCATACAAGTTGAGGTTGTCATTTTATTCTGCAAAAACTCTCTCTGAATGCTGTTATCATATACGGTCCTCCAAGGTTAGACTGTTTAGGACTGAAACTGACTTTGGTTCAAGGTTGCGCAACAATGGTAGCGCATTGACTTCCGCCGGCTGGATGTTGAGCTATGATCATTACAAAACGGAACGTTAGTTGCAGGCATTGTGAGACAATGCCTGCTCGCATGAATCAATTTGGTGTAGGAGAACATTGTGCTACAGAGTGACGATGGGTTATCATTTAATAAATGAATTTCAGTTATGTTGTCTTGAGTTGTCTTCAAAACGAACCATTCGCATCTGAGGCAATATGTGGACTTGCATTGTGATCAATTCATTCGTTACGAGAGAACACACAGTCTGGTATGAAATTGCGATTATATTTACTACATTAAAAACGGCTCCAATGTAGACTACGAAGAATTAAGATCTGCAGCCTGTTTGACTGCAAGGCGTCTGAGTCGGATCTTCGCCAAAGCACTGTTGGCGCTGATAGGCCGCTTGGCAGCAGATGACGTAGGAAATACTTGACTGGGTAAAAGACAATACATGAGCCTCGGAAAAATGGCGAAGAGTGAAAACAATACCGATTCCACCACGTGAGCAACTCATCGACTTCCTTAGATTCTTCAGGGTCCTCGAGGAGGTCGAGGAGACTGTGGTAGAAAGTCTCTGAGTCTGTGGACGTGTCGGTCCGTGAAAACACTGAAGAAGAACTTAGAGCGAATCGGACCTTCAGTGGTGCGTCAGGACAGTTTAGCTTCGGAAGTGCTGTAAGGCATACCTGCGTTGCAATATAAGCTATGGAAGCGATGGTGACAGCATTCATGCCATGGAGGCGAGCATTACCGGATCGCGTGGCTTTTGGTTCCTTGTCAACTGAACTCGGGGATGTGAAAACGTGCTTGTAAGCCTAGTGAGAAAACATGTAGTGAAGAAAACACAGAACAGGTGTTCATACTCACAGATACGAGTAAGCGATTCCTAAGAAGACCACACCAAGGATCATCAGCGTCGTAAGTATAGTTGGTGTACAAAAATATGGGCCATTGATCTCCGCATACCGACATTTCTCCGCTTCGGAGGCTCTCTCTCGTCCTAATGAAGTGAAAATGAGTGGCGACCGAGGATGCCAGTAAACCGAAACATACTCTGGGTCTTTCCAGTCCAACCCAGCGGGACAAAGAAGCGATCCAGTTAGCTCATGGTTGAATCCACGGTCGATCTTCGAGTTTCTGTGTAAGGGAGGCTGGATTGCTGCCCCTTTCGGGGAAATCCAATCAAGCACCGCAGACTTTAATGTTTTCGTGTCGTCGCCCCTCGCACCTGCGGCTCCTTTACCAATCTACATATGGTAAGCATAAACTCTTGACACACAAACAAAAACGCACTAGCTCACCGACATGAATGAGTTCTTCCTCAGACCCGTTTTGTAGTCGCTCTAAAAGGCCAGGGTAAGAGTCTAAGAGGTGCTCAAAAACGCGATGCTCTCGTCGCTCACTGCCAAAGATGTCAATAAGCCAGCGAGCATAGATGGATGTCGTTGTCACTCAGTAGAGAAGTCCTCCAGTGGAGCATCTTCCATCTGCTCTAATCTGAGGATACCATTGGTGAGCAGAGAAGGAAAATTGCACAGAGCGAATACTGTTCGGCCGAAGTGGCGCCCATGGGAGATAAGGGGATCAGATGTTGAGCTGTGCGACTAGATGAGTCTGCAAAACTCAGCGTACTAAACATCAGGGACAGCTTACGCTTTTTTACGGGGTCCCATCTGGAGGGCTGGGGTAGCCCGTTTACTCGGAATACTGGAAGCATTTTCGGTGGTCATGAGAGCTGGCAAGGTAGGAAGGTTCGGGTTTTGCTTAACTGGAGGCCAGCTTTTATCACAGATGCACCACGTGGGATTCTATGCAAACGACGTACCTGATGGCGGCCAAGCAAAAGCTAAATTGGCTGGCTGGCTGGCCACGGTGATTGAGGGCTTGGGTGCTGGCTGTGGTGACAGGGGGCCACAATGGCCTTCCTTTCGCAGGCTATCAAAACTTCGTGTAACAGGGAATAAAAGCTCCGTTAATGATTTCATCAGCGCCAGAAAATGAAACAACCTGCGTTCATGCAGCAATCCTTGACCCAGAGCCAAACCTTTAACCTATCCGGACATATCATTACCTTGAATTTCCGGTAACTCCAATGATGAACTTGCGGCAGGACTTACTAATACCTTCTATTAGGATCGAGGCAGCAGGAAACACTAGTAGTAGTAATCAGAGCGGTGAGGCTAAAAAACCCATCGTCTTAAGGTCTGTGAACATCTTTATTGTTCTTTCCCAAAGCTTATAGTATTTTAGAGCGACGGATGTTGACAAGAGCACATCTTCAGCGGGGTATAACGAGGCTCCTGTTCTTCTGCCAGAGAACAACGGCGAGACGGGCGAGGACTCCGTAGCCGAACTCAAAGAACGACTGCAACTTGCAGATTTGCGCTACTCGGAACTGGAAGAGTTATACAAAAACTATAGACTTCGTTGGTTGGAGGAATGTTATCGGACCGGAATCTTAGAAGAATACGCACCAAACGGAATCAGCACATACCCTCCTCGTCAGATCGCATGGGACGCCCCTTCTCCTACTCAAAGTATGTCCCACGCGGGCTCCCTTGAAGTAAACTGACGGCTTCAGGTAATGTGGACGACGGAATCGAGGACCATGAACAAACGCAGAAGACGTTGTAACGCACGAGGTAGTTGCGGTAGCGTGAAACGTTGACACTTAAGGAGTTGGAGTTCTGTGACCAGAAAATCTTAGTGTGGTAATCTAGCTGCAATTGCAATACCATACAATGAAAAATTGCCCTGACAATTGCAGTCAGACGTAGAAGTTTCCGTCAAGACGTCGAGAATGTTCTGACGGATTCAATAATATATGAGTAGGCACCTTGAAACTTAGAACATGGAAATTGACATCATCTATTTAATCTACCAGAGCTAACCTCTAGATTTTTGAGCGCGACCCATGCGAGATACATGGATATCCCCGCAGTCTCAGGATAAAGATATCACTGCGGCCTTATCCTAGCTGGGCCTGGACCGTAACTGGCGACCACTAATATAATCAATGAACCTACCACAACGGCGAGTGTAGCAAAGCACGCAATGACTGAGGGCGCGGATGGCCTGAAGTCTATGGTGATGCCTGTGAGAAATCCGAGGATGGAACTTGTTACACTGACAATGATTCTATGAGTGACCTGAGTAATTGTAATCACATCTGCTTACCTCAATACGCAAAAGCAGGTCGGTATGCTTGTTATTACCAGAAGCATCACCGCCTTCCTTCGCAGATAATAGGCCTGTTCAGTCGGCAATATTAGGCTCAAGACGCAGGATGATGAGGAAATCGAACCGCAAAGTCCAAAGACTTCAGTCTCTCGCCAAAGTGGTGGACTATCGTGCCCGCAAAAATACACCCAACACCAAGAAGGAAGGAGCAAGAGCACAATGTTTGTGCAGTTGTTGTTGCGCCTAACCCTGGAACGGCAAGAATAGCGACATCCAAAGCCATGGAGATACCTGCCTGTAAGAACAAACTGAATGGGAAAGTGTCCTCGTTCACGGCACTGATACAGTCCTTACCAAGGTAATCTGATTTCTTGTCTGACTGCCGAAATCGTCGATAAACGACTGAACTTCCACCCCATTTACGATACCATCGACGGAGGTGCTCCTGACGCGAGAAAAAGTGATCGGCATACATAGCATCGTGGCTGCAGTGTTGCCCACAAAATGCAAAAGTTTGAACTTTGTGTGCCTCTCTCTCACTGCATGTGTTCGAATTAGGCGAGCCTCAGGTTGGTTGTAGCGGTGCAAATACTGGTGATGACCTATGTGCCTGTGTGATTAATAGCAAATGCTTCACAAGAGAGCGACGTACGTAGCATGTACATAATTCTGCCTTCGAGCAAAAAAAATATCAGCACTTGAAGTTCTCGGCCCCATAAACTCACGAACAACATAATACAATTCCGGTTTCCGGTACCAAATTATTTTCCGCAATTTCTTCTAAGAAGAGATGTCGACTCAATTGATTTCATCGTGGCTGCTGTGCAGCGAGACAAGAACACATACCAACATAGGCCAGTTGACCGATGATTTGATCCATTTCCTCTAAAGTCCAGAAAATAGATGCCGCAGTAGATTGTTTCAAGGTCGTCGCTTCTGTTTTTGCTGTTATTCTGAGCGTCACTTTCAGAAGTAACGCAAAGCTTACCTCCAAGGTAGCAAACCATTTCTCCCCGTATGCGTCTCACTTCCAATCGAGACAACCTAAACTGGTGCGGAAAGTATTCGAAGTGTTTCCTACCGAGGAGAAAACGTTCAGTTACATTCAACTCTTTGTGTGTCCGGTATTTGACCACTCACCAATATTGAGCTTCCAATTCGAGTCCTATATGGTTCTGGTCAAGTCATGAAACAAATTTAAGAGAGGAAATACTCTTGTGCTTCCACGTGCTTGACTTGACACAAGGTTGGAAGAGAATGTAGCCATCGAGGTCCTCCAGCCATGCAATTATACGGCTGCCGGGGACTACATAATAATACTGGAACCTTTCTTCTCCCATAAAGATGATCGGCTCAACAACCAATATCCACGAATCTTCTTTCGCCGCGGCTCGTGATGCATTAACAAACTCATCCAGTGTCTGTAGATTCTGAAAGTTCCTCAGGTTCGTCAACGTAAACGCGTTCTATATTTCCATCAGGTAAGTCACTCGCAAGTATAAGCAGTACTTACCTTCCTGAGATTGTAGAAATACGTACCACCTATTGGGTGGACCAACTCTTGCCAGTCTCCGTACACCAGAGGCCTGTTGATGGAGATTAGTTTGACACCGGTCAATAATAAGACGACGAACGGAGGATCACTTATTTCTTTCCCGCGGACCAGGTTATCTTCATACGCATCATCCGTACTATATACAAAAATCAATATGATTAATACGGTCAATGATTTCAGTACTTACAGCAATACTACTTCGGCGTATCGGGGCAATTGAGTCGGCCAGATACCAATACCACGATCAGACAGCGTGGCAGATTGTAGGGGCACTGACGTTGTCTAGAACATGATAGGGTGAGCACCGCGTAAAGGGCGAAAAGCACATTGCGATTAAACGTACCATGTTCTCCTAATCAGTATCGTCAACATGATGTTGTGCTGCGAGACTCGAATGAGGAGATCGAACACACCTTCGCACTGTCTGAACGCGTACTTGGAGGAACGAAGACAGTGATGACTCAGCTACCGATGGTAGTGGTAGGAGAGAGAGTTGGAAAATTACGTAATGCAGCATGTGCAGGTCAATTCGTAGTGAACGAGTATGCAGGCATAAACAAGTACACAGGCATAAACAAGTACAAATACAACATTAATTGCCATAAACAACAACTTTAATTACCCGCTACGGCAAATAAGGTACGTACAATAGTCGAATATCTGCCCGATTGGATCTAACAAACTCATATCGACGCCAGAGCAAACACGAGATGGCGCGCGTGATTAACGGACCCCAACTCACTGATTGTGACGTCTGCGTAAGTACTACTACCACTTTCTTTTATCATCAGCGCTAACACTCAACAGACGCATCTAGAATATCTAGAAGCAAAAATAAAGGTGCGCGTCTACATTACATTGCTCACTCCTGTCGGCCTGACTTGAGTGTTGGACTCGGAGGCGGCTTCTACATTGAATGCCCAACAAGTCCCGCAACCAAGTCCAATCAAGGCGTGGATACGGCTTTCGAAGGACAGGTTCGATCGTATGGTGCAGCAATTGAGATCGGCGGTGCAGAGGGTACGTTTTCGTTCGTTTTCAAGATTCAACGACTTATTGCATGCGTTCTAGAGATGAATCAGTAGGCGATGCTTAGCCTACATAGAGAGAGAACGCGCGCACTACCATTTACGACATGCCATGATATCCCACCACTCATTAGATAGATATCACCATTCATATAGCTTCACAAAGTAACACGCATACCCTCAAAACAAATTGTAATCTATGTACACAACTACTTGTACTTGTTGTATCACGTACCATCATATACTATGCAGGCGGCAGAAGCGTCGTAAAGTAACATTCATGAATATCCACAGACTTGAACGAATGTGGGAGCCTGTATTGCGCGTAAGGGACTGCTAATTCGTCATGAGGCGGTTCAACAATGATATCTTCGATATCGTCCATGACCTTCATCCGTTTCTCATTCGTGACAGGGTCTACAATGATTCTGGGCTGACGGGACTTGGGGTCAATATATAAGACATTTTCCTCCCTGAAGAATTTCACGAATGAGTATGATCAAATGATGCGTCAAGACACTGACCGTATGTGAGGAAGCCTCCGGGCCGCATCGAAGAAGGAGATGAAATGATGTGGATTCGCATACATCATATCCAGGGCGGCGGTGATATGAGGATATACCTCCAGCGTTTTTAAATGTACCTTTTCCGCATGAGGTGGAATGAATGACTGATACATCTGATGCAAAAATCGTTAATGTTTACGAAAAATTGTGAGAAGAGAAAACACTTACAAGAGTAACAAGCACGCCCACGATGCCCTTTCCTAGATAACCCGTTAAGGTTTGGATGGCTTCAGGGTAGAAATCTGCCAATCGCGCTTGGCCTTCAGGTAAGTCAGCGATGGGTCGGTATAAGGCGACCCAGAGGAGTTCCCGGAACCCTTGAGTGACAATGAGCTTGCAGATGGCTTCTTGAATCTAAAGGATGAAAATTTTCAGAAGATCTCATTGCGCGATGTGCGGTCTCTTACCATGCTTTCATTATCAGAGTTCATCAAATCGATGATGTGAAGTTTTATCTCGGCCTCCTCCTCTGTGTTTTTCCCAAATCCAGCATCTGGAGTCGTCCCACCCCTTACAATTTTCCTCAGCTCGGAAGTGAAATCTATGGGGTAATCTAGGAACTGACAGAAATGTTCAGTAGTAGATGTATTGCGATGGGACAAGTGTCACAACCCAATAACGAATTAACGCTGGGCAGAGACTAGGACTCAAACACAAGATAAACCAAACAAAAGAAGATAGAATTGAGCAGGTACGTCTGGGCTGGTACAAGTAATGTACAGACGAGAGGTTTGAACTAAAGAACTACCGACTACAAACTAGCTACCTATATACATATATTAAGTCGGAGACTGAGTCTGAGTTCAAACTAACTACCAATCAAATAATAGGAAACAGTATCGTACGATTCTATATATAACCTATGATGTCATAACACGTGCCGCAGCAACCGACAGGTTCTGGAACATCGCATCAGGTTCACGTGGTATAAAGTTTAGTCCGGCATATTCCGATAAGTCACGTGACTCAACCTCGTGCTCGTTAGGTATTTCCACAATAGACGCAACCACAGGTGCATCCTCTTCCACATCTTCAACCGTAAATACATTGTTATGGACAGGCGCTTTATCAGAGCGCTTATAAGACTTAGAGTTCAGAAAAGAATAATGGTTCGTGTGAGGTACTCGTGACATTACCCCCTCTCTAGGATGAGCGTCATCGCGAATGAAACTAGGGCGAATATTGCGTGCTCTCCAATCCTTGAATTCTTCTGATTTAAATAACGATCCCTTGATTCTCTGTGATTTTGGTGCTTTTGGGTGTTTTTCATAAAAATATGCGATAGCTTCCGGGGCGTTCTTTACGTTATCTTCCGACTCCCAGGTCGCTTCATCCCTTGGATATCCTTCCCATTTGACCAAATATTGCAACTTTCCTCTATAAATACGACTGTCCAATAATTCATCCACTTCGTACTCTTCTCTCTTTTCGACGATTTCCGGTGGCGGGCGTGCATTTCCGGCATGAGGTATCAACCTTGAGACATAATGCGGTGAAAGCAATTCTACATGGAAAACTGGATGAATGCCGTATCCTTCTGGCAATTTCAACTTGTAGTTCAATTCTCCAATCTTTTCCACTATTTCAAAAGGACCAAGGCGTCTATCTGATAGCTTCGCATTCGGGCGTCTTTGCCTAATATTCTTTGCGTCAAGCCAGACCTTGTCTCCAATTTTATATTGTGTTGCTTCTTTAACGCCTCTATCATAGAACTTTTTCATTCTCTCGTTCACGATTCTGAGGGTACTTTCCGCATCATCTTTTGCCTCTTTCATTTGTTGCATCCTCTCATCTGCTGCAGGAATTCGGGACGCGGAGTTTGGATGTATCGTGAAATCGGGATTGTATCCATAAAGAACTTTGAAAGGGGTGTGCCCAGTAGCGGTTATCGAGTTATTGTGTGAAAACTCCGCAATTGGCAACCAATTTACCCAATCATTCTGTCTATAGGATGTGAACACGCGCAAGTACTGTTCGACTTCTTGGTTAACGCGCTCTGTTTGTCCATCCGTTCTGGGGTGATACGAGGTCGACATTGACCATTTCGTGCCTAATCTTTTTGACACTTCTCCCATAAACTTGGAAACAAACTGTGTTCCTCTGTCCGATATCACTTTTTTCGGTGTTCCATGGTGTTTCCATACATTTTCCAGGAATAGATCAGCAATCCCTTTCGAGGTTACTTCTTTTGTGGTGGGAATAAAGTGTGACTGTTTCGAAAATCGATCAACCACCACAAATATGCTGTCATATCCCTTATCTTTTGGCAGGTCCACTATCAGGTCACAAGAGATCGTTTGCCAAGGTCCACTAGGAATCTCATTTGGCTGCAGGGGTCCGGTTGGTCTACTCGGAAACACCTTTGTTTGTCTGCATCGATCGCAACCATCTACATAATCGTGGACATACTTCGTCATTGAAGGCCACCAATAATTTCTGGAAACTAATTCTAAGGTCTTGGCACGTCCAGGGTGTCCAGCCGGTGGAGAGTCGTGAAACAGCTCCAATATCTCTCGGCGGATCTCTTTATCATTTGGAACGTAAACCAGTCCTCGGAATAACACCAATCCATCCTCCACATTCCATTCTTCGACTCCCCTACGTAGTTGTACCGGTGCTGCTTTTAGCGTTTCTAACGCTCTTGCGACTTCGGGCTCTTTTTCTGTGCATTGCCTTATCTTTCTCAGCAATTTTTCTTCTCCTTGCACTAGAACTTGGCCTCTTTTAGCAGCTTTTACAGTAAAAAACTCCGGTTTTAACAAAATACGATCAGAATTGTCGTTTTCTATCCCCCCCCTGTGGTCTTCTCTCCGAGATAGACGGTCCGCCTTATCGTTGACTACACCAGGCTTGTGTTGGAGCGTAAATTCGTACTCCGCCAGGAACAAACTCCATCTGGCTTGCCTTCTTGTCAACTTTTGACTCGTCATAAAATACTCGAGATTCTTGTGATCCGTCCAGATCTCCACATGGTGAGGTTTTCCCTGCACATAGTGCCTCCACTCCTCCAATGCTCGAATGATTGCCAATAATTCTTTGTCATGGATGTCGTAATTTCGTTCCGCATCATTCATTGACTTCGAATAATAGGCTACGGGATGCCACAAATCATCTTCCATCAGTTGAGATAAGACCGCTCCAGTTGCATAATCAGAAGCATCGGTCTCTATTTTCATCTTTTTCTCAACGTCCGGCATAACTAGAATCGGAGCTGATGTAAACCTTGACTTCAGTTCATCAAAAGCATCTTGCTGTTTCTCCGTCCAGTCCCATTTGACATCTTTCCGCAATAAATCATTCATTGGTCTGGCTATTTCCGAGAACCCAAAGATAAATCTTCTGTAGAAGTTGGCAAAACCCATGAATGCTTGAATATCTTTAACGCATTTAGGTACAGGCCATTTCATTACTCCTTCTACTTTCACAGGGTCCATCCGAACACCACCCTTCTCCACGATCAACCCGAGGAACTCGACTTCCGACTGTTCGAAGCTACACTTTTCAGGCTTCAGATACAAGTCGTTCTCTTTTAGTCGTTTCAGTACCTCACGTACAACTTTCCGGTGTTGCTCCCTATCGCCATTTGTGAACACGAGGATATCATCGATATAGACTACTACGGTCTTTCCATCAATTAGATCTCTGAATATCTCGTTCATCATTGTTTGGAACGTGGCAGGGGAGTTCGTTAAACCGAAGTACATTACAGTTGGTTCATGGTGACCAAACGGCGTTTTGAAGGCCGCCTTCCACTCGTCTCCTTCTTTCATGCGAATATTATTGTACCCCCATCGTACATCCATCTTGGAGTACATTGTGGCACCGGTTAAAGCATCAATTAAATCTTGAGATCTCGGTAGCGGATATGCATTTTTAACCGTCTTCTCATTAAGCTTTCTATAATCCATTACCGGTCTAAGTTTGCCATCTTTTTTGGCCACAAAGAAGAAAGGTGCTGCCACTGGGGATTGTGACTCTCTAATACGTCCCAGTGCGGTTTCAGCTTTCAACCAATCTTTCAAAGTGTCCATCTCCTTGGGTGACAAAGGGTAGGGTTTCGCATTCGGCGGAAGATCGCCATCGTCTTTAAGATCTATCGCATGATCCCATTTCTTTCTTTCGGGGAAGCGCTTAGATTCTTCTTCTGAGAAAACTCCCAGGTAATCGTGAAGCCAATCGGGAACCATCTCTTCAACCGATTTCTTCACCTTCGTTGCTTCTTCTGCAACCTTCTGCTCCGTGGCAACCGAGGCTTTATATCTTATCCATTCTACTGGATCTTCCTCATCTTCTGCCACTTCAACTCGTGCCCTCTTCGGGTCTTCTTCATCATCGTCATCCTCCGTCGGAATCAGATCGGGCAAAGTGCCTCTTACGTCTTTTCTATTTTCTCGATTTTGTATTCTCTTTTCTTTTTTCGTCATACATTTAACGGGACAACGCGTGAGAGAGAAACGCCCTGCATTCCAGTCTACCTCCGGGTTGTGATATCTTAACCAATCAATGCCAATAATTACATCGTCACTGCCGAGGTCTGTAACCATGAATGCTGTTTTGTCTTCAACATGGTTTCCGATCTTCAGACCTAACTCGGCGAAGTGCGTCATCGATCCGGCTGCGTTCAACGAGCCATCAATATTTTTAACGGGAATCGGTCTCTCCAACTTTCGACACGAAATCCCCTTCTTCTCCACAAACTTCTTATCTATAAATAATGTCGAAGCACCACAATCAACTAGTGCTTTGACCTCGGCTTGCCGATTCTTTCCTTTCAGCGTAACGGGAATATAGAAGTGTTCTGATTTCGTTTTAAGAAACACTTCTTCGACATCCGCGTAGTTTGATAAGATCGAATATTTATTATTAGGATCTAAGCCCTCGGTCTTTGGCTTCGCTCCTTTTTCGTTCTTTTCGCCTTCCGTGGTCAACCACCTTGTAAACCACTTGGGCGCCCCCACCAACTTCTTGGCTTCTTCCTTCTTGATTGTTAGAGCGATCTTTTTGCCCATATCTGTTGACAACCAGAATTCGAACCATTTCGGAGGTTTCCCCGTAAACTCTCTGCCAGTATCCGAATCCCTCCATTCGGTAAACCACTTCGGTGGTACCTTCTGGTCTTGGATTGGGACCTTCTTCTGACAGTCCTTGGCCAAATGGCCCTTCTCTCCGCAGTTGTTGCATTCAAAGATATGGCTAAATCGGCATTTTGCACCGAACCAGCAATTACCAATATCTCGAAGGAACTTGCATGGAATCTGAGAAGTAGATGACATTGTGCCAGTTGTATTCTGGAACCCGATTCACGAATGTCGTTTTGAGTAGCTGCTCGTAAGGGCTACTCCGGATAAGGAAAATGATGATAAAGATCAATGTGAAAAATTCTACGTAAAGGAAAACTGAGCGGTCCCCG